CCATATGATCCAATAATTCCACTACTGGATATTTACCCAAAGAATACAAAACACTAATTTGAAAAGATATATGCACCCCTATGTTTACTGTAGCATTATTTACAATAGTGAAATTATGGAAGGAGCTCAAGTGTCCATTGATAGATGAATGGATAATGGATAAAGGTGGCATATATATTCAATGGAATATTATTTAGCCATAAAAAAGAACAAAATCTTGCCATTTGCAATAACATGGATGGATCTAGAGAATACAATGCTAAGTGAAATAAATCTGTCAGAGAAAGACAAATACCAATGATTTCACTCACATATGGAATTTAAGAAACAAAACAAATGAATAAAGCAAAAAAGAGACAAACCAAGAAGGAAACTCTTATAATCAACATAAAGCTAACCAATACAAACAGTAAAGTGGCAATTGATATTTTCTAAAAATATTAAGTTAAAATCTAGTTTTTAAAAAATCAGTTATTTATAAACCTTTCTATAAAAAGTAAACATTCTGTTTAAAAAAACAAAGACAATTACTCATTATCATATTCAAATTATAAGTGTTAATTAAGGAATTTAAGATCATCGACACCAAGATAAAATGCCTAATGAGAAAAAGAATATGAGATAAGAAAAGTAGCAAGGATTAGAAGAGGAAGACTGAAACTGAATATTCAACTTTGGGAAGAATATGAAATGAATTCCATTAGAAAGAAATTAACACAGATTTCTGGATGAAGAGAGTTCATTAAAATAAAGACAAAGGTAAAACCTCTAGAAAACAAAGAGAATGTGGGGCAGGCAGGGGCAGACATCAATGGCAAAAGGATTTCAATAAATTTCTTGAGTCAGTAGATCAAGAACGAACAATGACTGATAAATCAGCATAAGAAGCTATAACCTACTATTTGCACTGAAGAGAAGAAAGCCAAGGAATAAAACAAACTAGGCTACATTATCCTGAACTCCAGGTATAACAAGTGTGAGATGTGGGGCTGAAAATTCTAAAATCAAAAATGTTCACAATCAGCTTTGCTCTTGCCTTATTCTTAGATATGAATACACAACCAAAACAGTTGAGAAAGAGAAAGAGAAAAAAATAAGAGAAAAAAGGCCCTAAAGAAAACATTAATATTTTAGGAAACAAAAGATGATGTTTAAAAAAACTAATTTGTATTTTAAGAGAGATATAATGATGTTATATCTATTGAAGGAGAAATAAGCTGTCATAAAAAAGAAACAATCAATAAACAATTAAAGTTACTGAATACCAAAAAAATGATTGCTAAGAAAGTAGGGCATTTAAAAAGGAAATCTCACATAATGTACAACAAAATGACATAAGGGTAGAAAATAATGTGAAAAAAGACAAGAGACATGAAGATTCAATCTAGGATGTCTAACATCTGATCAGTGAGAGTAACAGAAAAAGAGAATAGAGAGAATCAGGAGAGCAAATTATCAAACAAAGGAAGAGGATGTCACAGAGCCATCCTCAAACTGCAATCATATGGGCTCTGCTATGTTTTGTGTCAGATTTGATATCAGGTTTTCTTCCATCCAAAAACAAAAAGCCATAGCAGTTCTAGGTCTTACATCCACACATCCTTCTGTACTAGAGAAAGTGTTTATCTTTTGCCAACCATCTCTCATCCTAGGCTGCATTCTATTTGGTACACATAGGTTAACAAAACCATCCCTGATCCAATTGCCATAGTCAGGAGAATGCCATGTTGTGACTGGCTTTCACCTGGATTAATACCATCCCTGAACGGTCATTATGGGAAAGAGGACAGGGACATGCTGCCACTCAACAGGAAGCTTCAGAACGGATGCTAGAGAAGCAACCTTCAATATCGAATGCATTGTTGTGACATTTCAGTACACCAACCATAAAGACACAATCATAAAAGTTAACAGGGAGGAAAAACGACTTAGCTTAAAAGAACAAAAATTACATCAGCCTCAAATTCCTCATCAGCAAAATGCTACCAGACCATGGAGCAATACCTTCAATGGTTTGAGGAAAAATTACTTTTCAATCTAAAATTTTAAGTTCAACCAATGTATCCATGAAATGTGGGGGCAGAAAAGGAACATTGCCAAAATGTAAGGATTTCAAAGTACCTTCTCTATGGAAGTTTCTTAAAGATGGACTCTACTTGAAAAGAGGGAATAACCAAGAAAGAGGAAGATATCAGGAACAGTAAGAAGTGCCTCCAAACCACTGGAGAAAGAATGAATATGTTAATCCTTAAATATATTCTCCATAGGGATATGGTGTTTACATGTACCCTTCAGTAATGATTACATTTCTTCCATGACTTAAAAACACAAAGAATTTGAAAATTACTGTATTTCCAGGAAAGAATCCAAGTTATCTATATGCCAAATTAATACAGATGAAAACCATGGAGACATTTTAATATTAAATAAATTCTAAAGAATTAAAAAAAGGCTAGCTATATGAAAACCAGGTTATCTTGTAACCTTGAGATACACATATGTATCTACTTGTCATAATCACGTGGTAATCTATGAGCTATAAAGGCTTATTACATTTCTATTAGTTTTCAAAACTTCTACAAAATAGTTAAGAAACTTAACTCTGTAAATCACTGCGACTTTTCAGCAATTAGTCATTAACATACTTTGCAAAAAGAAACCTCTCCTACTCAAAAATTAGCTCTACTATTCTGGGGAAAAAAGAGATACAAAACCAAAAGATTGACGTACATATAAAAGTCACAAAACTGCAACCTGTTATAAATAAATGTTTACAATGAAAATGAATCTAAATGCTTCCAAAGCTCATTAATATTCAAAGGATTAAAAAATTGCAATTCCATCTTTTTCTTAGAATGAGTAAACACTAACTTGAAGAATTATAGCTCTTCTAGATTCATTTTTTTTCCATAATTACTCAATTATTTGTTAGAATATGTAAAACCTCTATTGGAATCCTTATACCAGTGTTTCATAAATGGATTTAACTATAAAACCTCGTTATACAGTATCTTCCATAAAAGCAATATATTTCCAATATTTATGTCCTTAAAATATCCTACGGTAAAATTAATATTTCTATACAGAAAAAGAAGGAACTATTTAGTCCCCGACAACTTGATAACATCTCTTTCAACTATAGTTATAATTATCATGTACGAACTTCCAAAGCAGTTGTCAAGATTTAACATTAGCATTAATTTATGTCATAACTGACGGTTACTATAAAGATAATGGCAAAGCATCCATTTCTCCAAAGACAGCATGGATCGAAAGGGAAATTTCTTCTTAATTACTACTAATCTGCCCATTTTTAATTAAATTGATTAGTAATTTATTATCCTTCCCTTTCTTGCAAAGCTGTTATTATCACATAGTTTCTCCAAAGTTATCAGTTATCAGTGATTTTTAAGCAATCCAATTACTTCTCATGTGAGTCCCACCATTTTGCAATATCGGTTTATGCTAAAAACTTATTACCCAATTTCTTTGTACCCTGAAAAAGAAACTTAAAAAATGCAGACTTTGCACTCATTATTTCACACCTTAAAGTGAACAGTGTCAAGATCTTATTTATATAGAGAAGACCATTTAAGGTGGAACTTTTATGCCTTTCTCCCTTGTTTGAAAATCAAAATAGTTATTAGTATGTATCTTCCCACAGGAAAGAAAGGAAGTCCCTTTCCTTTGAAATTTCCTTTGAAAAATATCTACTTCTTATGCTATCCATAACTAAATTATGGCATTATTCTAAAAATTTTCCCTACCAGTTTCTTTTTTAAAGGGTAAATAAAATTGAAAATGTTCTGACATACAAAATGAGAAATATTTCAATCAAGCAAACTTCGAAAGAATTTAAATGCTTCATATATTTTTCTTAATCAAATCCTTAATTGGTATTAAGCTTTGATCAGCATCAAATTTAAAGTATAACACTGAAGTAACTACTTGAGACCAGCAAATTTTCATGACATTAGTTCATAATGTAACTTCTGAAAAGCTGAGCTTCTCTGAAGAATGAGAAAATGAAATGCAATGTCCCTTGGTAGAAAGGACAGAAATCTTCCTTTCTTTTGTGAAAAAATGCTAAGACAAGCAGGAAATATCAGCTTAAAGTCTCTATTTCATTAGATACGCCTTGTATGAATTGACTAGAGCTGACTGAAAAAAATTCATATTAAGAAGAATACAGAATGTATTCAAACAGTTAACTATCAATGAAAATGAAAAGATAATGGCTTAGTATAAAATAATCTCCATGAATTAACATATACTGAATATAGTATCTATTAGATATATGAGTCCCATACTTTCTCTCCTAAATTTTCTGTTTAGAAAAATTAACACTGAATGCACAATGGCTGCTAAACTCTTATGTACCAGGACTTAAGTATTTAATTCATACCTCTCTTACTAGATTTAAGCAAGGCTCAGTCTCTCACTTTCATTAGGTCTATTTAAATTTCACCATACCAGAAAGGTCTTGCTTGACCACCCCTTGTCATCACTCCTTATCACCTTGACTGTTTCATTCTTCTCCATAATACTCTTTACCACCAAGCATATGATTTGCTTGTCTGTCTACTGTCTGTTTGCTTCCACTGGAAAGTAAGCTCCAGCAGAACAAGGCTTTGTCTGATCTGTTCATTGCCCTATCTTCAGTGCCTAGAACTATATACCATGCACATAGTAGGCATTCAATAAGTATTTGCTTAAAAAAAGATTAAAATTTCATCAGCTACAAAATTCTAAGGAAAACTTAAATATCATCTGACAATCCTGAATGCCAAACAATACCAAAAGTTTTGTTTTTAAATAGTACTTAATATAAAGACATAGTAAGTTTTCTTTTCATCCAAAAAGACAAAATATCTTTTCAAAGAATAGTTGGAACACTAACAGTTGCTAATTATTTATTACTAAATAATTCAGTTAATGGGATTAACAGTTGTTAATTATTACTAAATAATTCAGTTGATGTAATTGGTCACTAGGCATACCTTAACAAGTTTCAAAAGCTCATAGAGATCTTCAACCTCATCACCTTCACATTTGGTGTACACTCGTCCTGTATCCACACTCCTTCCTCTTATGGTGCGGCGGTAGAGGGGAAGAGCCATCGCTTCTGCATACAAATCAATGGCGTGATGACCCACTGTCTGATACATGTAGCTATCCAGTTCATCTGACCCCACTGCAACAATGAAAGTGGAAATAATCAGGAAAACAGAGTGAAAAAGAAAGGAGATTTGAAAGTTCATCTGAGTTTTACTGCTTGGAGACTTACTACACTATATCTCTCTGCATTTATGAAGTGAAATAAAGTGGAAGAGTTGCACATTTGTCCATAGCTGCATCCAGTTCACATCAGCTCTAGTCATCTCTACTGCTAATTACAAATACATATAAATTTTTAAAACTATATACAATAAATGTTTAAAGAGAATAATATAGCCAATAAATTTTAATTAGTTTACTCAATTAAAGATTTTATTACATAAATGTTTCTCAAATCATTCAAGGTTATTTACAAAGACATCTAGAGTTGTAGGAAAAAAACCTTTTTTAACTAAATGGCTACTTGGTTAACAAGTGACAAATATTTGTAAAAATAAATCACATGCTCTTGATATATTTTATATTCAGTATTTCAAACAAGACATATAAAAATATTTAAATTATGAGGCAGTCAAAGATGGCTGCGTAAAAAGAACACGAACTCACCTCCTTCCTCAGATATACCAAAACTACAGTTACATATGGAATAATTCCTGTTGATTCTAGCTGAACAGCCCCCTCCACAATAAGGGATAAAAAGGCCACATCAAGGTGGGTGGCAGAAGCAGAGACTCGATCTCACCCCAAACCCTAGTAGTGACCTACAATAGGGAGGGATCTCACAATACTGAAGCCTCTCTCGGGGTTTATGCCATCTGACACCCCAACCCTGTAGGACCTGCACTGGAAAGACAAGGCCCCCCCAAACATCTGGCTTTGAAAACCAATGGGGCATACACCCAGGAGGACTGGGGGACTGCAGGGATTTGAGATACTCCTTTTGAGGAGCTTGTGCAATGATTCACTCCTCCCAGGACGCAGCACAAAGTCAGCAGTTTGAGAAATGACTGGATTATATGTGAAGATTCATTTGCTAATGTAAAAGTGTCTGCTGAAGGAGCAGGGACAAGTGGGGACTTTCTTTGGAGATGGAGAGCATCATTTTCCCACTCTCCATCTCTCTCTACCTTGCTAGTACTGGTGGCAAGAGCAGGTGTCTGGCCCCCAACACTTTTCTCCTACATGGGTAAAGTTATGGGCATGCCCCACCCTCAGTGCTCTTTCCTGGCCTTGGTAAATCCACGGGTGAGCCCCAGCTCCAGTGCTCTTTTTCCTGCATTGCCAAAGCTGTGGGCATGTCCCACCCCAGTGCTCCTCCCACATCTTGCTAAAGCCATGAGTGTGCTCTGCACCCAGCACTCTTCCCCTGCATCACTAAAACCCTCGGCACTCTCCTGCAGCCTCACTAAAGCTGGCCATCAAGCACAGTCCAACGAGGGATAACCCTTGATCACCCAACCTGGTAGCAGAGGGGCTTCTGTTGCTGGGCCCCACAGGACTATAAAAATCAGAAAGACAGTTCTGCACAGGTTACCAAACCCACAGCACTGCACAGACAGCAATCAAGTCTGCCTGTGAAAAAGGCCCATCTACTTGTCCTGGAGTTTCAACCTGTGGAACAGGCTTCATGTTAGTCACATATCTAGAGATTACAGAGGTGCTCTCAGGGACCAAAGGCAGGGAAATACCTTCTTTGGGCCTTCCCCTGGCCTTGTCACAGCTCACTGGTACCTGCCGGAAAGAAGTGTATACACTTGTCCGAAGCCCTGCTTTTTGTAACTGTTGACCAGGGGACACCTCCAGATCTCATGGTCTGGTAGCAGAGTTTACACTTGTAGTCCCACAGAAACGTATCTATTTGCATTCTTTAAAAGCTGCTGCCTGAGAATCTGTTTCCAGTCAGCCTGAAACGAGGTCTTGACTGAGATCACTCTGTTTGGAACACTGACAGGTCTTGGCACACCTTCAACAATGGGGACCTATCAAGAATAAATCAGTCTACTTAAACAATCACAAAAGTTCGTGAGACAACCAAGAGCTAGGGCAAAGCAGAACAACAAGGTTTATCTCCTACAGAAGGCCAGCTTTAGCGAGGCTGCAGGAGAGTGCCGAGGGTTTTAGTGATGCAGGGAAAGAGTGCTGGGTGCAGAGCACACTCATGGCTTTAGCAAGATGTGGGCGGAACACTGGGGTAGGACATGCCCACAGCTTTGGCAATGCAGGAAAAGAGCACTGGAGCTGGGGCTCATCCGTGGATTTACCAAGGCCAGGAAAGAGCACTGAGGGTGGGGCATGCCCATAACTTTACCCATTCCTTACCAATTCCTTAAAGATTGGAAGAGGTAGCTGTTTCATCTAATACACAGAAACAAACACAGAGAGTAAAGAAAAATGAGAAAATAGAGGAATATGTTCCAAATTAAAGAACAGGAAAAAACATCAGAAAAACATCCTAATGAAGTGAGTTAATTCACGTGATTAAGAGTTCAAAGCAGTATGCATAAAGATGTTCACTGAACTCAAGAGAAGAATGGATGAGCACAGTGAAACTTCAACAATGAGACAGAAAATATAAGAAAGTACCAAACGGAAGTCACAGAGCTTAAGAATACAATAACTGAATTGAAAAATACATTACAGGGGTTTAATAGCAGACCAGACAAAGCAGAAAAAGAGATCAGTGAGCTTCAAGACAAAACAATGGAACTCACCCAAAAAGAGCAGTAAAAAGAAAAAAAAAAATTAAGTGAAGATAGTGACTTACGACACAACATTAAGGGTAGTAACATTCACATTACTGAGGTGCTAGAAGGAGAAGAGAGAAAGAAGCAGAAAGCTTATTGAAGAAATAATGGCTGAAAACTTCCCTAACCTGAGGAAACAGACATCCAAGTCCAGAAAGCAAAGAGAGTTCCAAATAAGACGAACCCCCAAAAATCCATACCAAGATACATTATAATTAAAATATCAAAAGGTAGGGGGCGGAGCAAGATGGCGGAGGAGTAGGAGACCTGGATTTCGTCTCCTCTCAGGAATTCAGCTGGATAGGGACTCAAACCATTCTGAACACCTACAAACTCAACAGGAGATTGAAGAAAAGAAGAGCAACAACTCTCTCATCAGAAAAGCGACCACTTTCTGGAAGGTAGGACGTGCGGAGAAGTGAATCCGAGGTGATATTCGGGAGGATAGACGGCGGGGGAGGGGCCTCCGTCGGCCGCTTCTGGCAAGTGATAGAGCCGCGGAGCACAAAATCGGAACTTTTAAAAGTTACTCTGGACGTCACTCTGGTGGCTAAGCGGGGGGTGGAACCCTCCGGGACAGTGTGGTCTCAGGACCCTCGGGGTCACAGAAAGACCGGGGGTGCCTCAGTGTGGCAGAGCTCCCAGGTAACGGAGCAGGGAAGCCGACTGAGGAGGCGGAGCCCAGGCGCGGGCTCTCAGCTCGGGGTTGCCATAAACTGTGATCCACGGCACAGTCGGGCCCCTGCTCCTCCAGCAGGGACCCAACAAGCGGCAGATCCGGGGAGACTCACCTTCCTCCCCCGGGAGGAGCCGCGCGGGACTGCACCGCAGGGATCTGCTGGGTTTGGAGACTCCACCCGGGTCGGGTGCCAGAGATAGAAATGCGCGGTCACAGGCCGGGTGAGCACGGAGTGCGGCCGGAGACCGGGGAGATGGGAGTGACTGACGGCTTTTCTCTGGGGACTCGCTGAGGAGCGGGGCCCCGAGTTCTTGGCTCCTCCGGGGCGGATATTGGGAGGCTGCCATTTTCACTCTCCGCCTCCAAAGCTGTACAGAAAGCTCGCAGGGAACAAAAGCCCCGGAGAGCAAACCCGAGCAGATTACTTAGGGGGGAGGGGGCAAGGGCGGGGCAATTCCGCCTCCGGCAGAGACATTTGGAAACCACAGCAACAGGCCCCTCCCCAGAAGATCAGCGAGAACAGCCAGCCAAGACCAACTTTACCGATCAATGAGAACGGCAGAACTCCAGTGCTAGGGGACTACTGCACATAGAATTCACGGCTTTTTTACCATGATTCTTTAGTCTTTTAAAGTTAATTTTCTTTTAACTGTCTTTTTGTCTTTTTATTTCTTTTTGAGTTTTTCTTTTTCCCTTTTCCAACCAACATCTTATCAATCCCTTTTTTTAAAAAAAAAAAACATTTTTATTTTTCATTTTTAGAGTCATATTCTATCCCTTCATAGTAGTTACCCATATTTTTGGCTTATATATATAAGTTGTTCTCTCTTTAAAATTTTGAGATAGTTTCTTCTAACAGATTAAAATATACCCTAAATCTCTAGTATATGGTGTCTTCTATTCCCCTGCGTGATCACATCCTCTCCCTTTTTTTTTCTTCATTTTCTTTTTTCAAATACTCTTCTTTCTTTTTTCAAACAACTTCTTATCAATTCCTTTTATAAAATTTTTTATAATTTCCATTTTTACAGTCATATTCCATCCCTTCATCATATCAACCCTTATTTTTGTACATATATAAGTTTTTCTTTCTTTAAAATTTCGGGAGGCACTTTCTTCTAAAAGACCAAAATACACTCCAAATCTAGTGTGTGGCACTGATATATATACCATATAGATCATATTTGATCACATTCTGGTTTTTTTGTTGTTGTTGTTGTTTTGTTTTGTTTGTTTTTCTTTTTATCTTTATCTTATTCTTTTTCTTTTTTTTCTTTTTCTTTTTTCTCTCTTTCCCTTTCTTATCCCACTGCTTCAGGTATTTTCTGATTTGTTTAGAGTATATTTTCTGGGGACGTGGTTACTCTGCTAGCATTTTGTTCTCTCATTAATCTATTCTCCTCTGCACAAAATGACAAGACGGAAAAAATCACCTCAACAAAAAGAACAAGAGGTAGTACCGACTGCCAGGGACCTACTCAATACGGACATTAGTACGATGTCAGATCTAGAGTTCAGAATCATCACTTTAAAGATACTAGCTGGGCTTGAAAAAAATATGGAAGTTATTAGAGAAACCCTTTCTGGAGAAGTAAAAGAGCTAAAATCCAACCAAGTAGAAATCAAAAAGGCTATTAATGAGGTGCAATCAAA